GTAGCTAGGGGATTTGAATCACCAACCTTTTGGTTAATAGTTCGACAGTATGACCTCAAGTTTACCATAGTGACCCCATATGAGAATGGAACTCTCTCATAGGGTTTCTAGTCTGTGTGCTTTATAAGTTATTTTAGCTCTTGTTTACCACTGGGTTAGAACCGACATTATTGACTCTTCAGTGAGTTTTCAGGGACAGGAAATAAGCTGGAGGAGAATGCCCACATTTCTCCCATAGAACGTCTGGTGAACTTGAACCACAAGCCTTTGTGTTGGCGGTATATTTCCTTCCCGCTAGACCACCAGAGCTCCCTAATTATGCAATAGTGTTAAATGTATGGCAGGATCGGTTTAACACGTAATTCTCCCCAGATGTCTGAATAAAAAAGCAATTACAAAAGAACTAAATAATTTATTTTCTTATTTTGAATTTAACAAAGAACGTAGTTCTTTTGTCCCAAGGCTTGGTATTTTTCCTTGTTTTACATGCATGTGAAAGTTGGACAATGAGTAAGAAAGACCTAAGAAGAACTGATACTTTGAGTTGTAGTGTTGGCTAAGAGTATTGAATATATATGGATTGTCAAAACAAAAAGAAAATCTGTATGGGATGAAGTGTAACCAGGGTGCACTTTAGAGGCAAGGATGGTGAAACTTCATCTGACATACTTTGGGCTTTTTGTCAGAAGGAGTCAGTCCTTAGAAAAACACAGCATGTTGGGGAAAATAGAGGATCAGTGAGGAAAGACCCCCATGAGGTGGAGTGGCACAATGACTGCCACAATGAGCCTGCATGTGGCAGAGACTGTGAGGATGGTGCAGTAGCAGGCAAGGGTCAGCTCTGCTGTGCAAAGGCCCTTGACCAGATGACACCCAACAGCAACAAAGAATTAAGACAGATGACTAGACTTAGCACGGTGCCTGCAACAGTGCACTCAAGTACAGCAACGGGCAGAAGAGGGTACAGGACCAGACACCGTTTCTTTCTTATGGATACTATGAGTTGGAATTAAGTCTCTGGAACCTAACAACTGAAAAGAAATGTTTGTAATGGAGCCGAAAGTCAAGGTGTCTCAAAGGATGTTATGAAGATTCCCAGCATCTGAATCAACCCAGACTCTATTTTTTTTTTTTATTTTAGTGAAAGTTTACAGAGACTTTGGATTTTCATTTATTCATTCATTCATTGTTGCACACTTTTCTCCCTGCCCACCCTACCCCCTACAGTTCGCTTTTCTCTTTGAAAAGTAAAAAAAAAAAAATTCTTTCATTGCTATACAATCCCCCTAACCCCCCAGACTCTATTTCAAAGGCAGATTTCTACGGTTTTCTGTCATTTACTTCTAGAGTGAGGGTAACTGAAGGAGTTCCAGCTAATCCTCCTGATGTGCACGCACAAAGCGACACTTTAAAGGAGGCAAGAACATATTTCTACACTAATCTTTCTTTTTTAGTCAAAACAAGTTTGAAGACTAGAAAGGAAAGGAAACAGGTGAAGTCTGTGCCAGGAGACCTTTTATAAGCAGATAAGCAGGGGTCAGGGAAGTAGCCTGCTCTTCTCAGGCACTTGCTGTTTCCTTTGTCCAGACCACATCCTGGAGTTCTTCCACAGTACTTCTCTCAGGTTCTTATTTCATAGGCTTCAGATGATCTCATCCAAGTCTTCGTCTTCAGGGTCTATGACCTTAGCTTTCCTCCCTCATATTCATCTTTGCCACAGTACTGTCCTCTGTTTCTGATTGTATCTGCCCTTGTAGCACTGTCCTCTGTTTCTGATTGTATCTGCCCTTGTGCTCATGCTTACCTGTGTTGATCCCTCTGTATTCCCCATTGTTCGCTGCAGTCTAGTAGATTCTGAATCATGGTGACCCCGTGTGTGAAAAGTAGAGTGACCTCATGAATTTTCAGGGTCATGACCTCTCAGAAAGAAGCTGATGTTCAAGCCTCTTCTAAAACGCCTCTAAGTGGAGTTGAACTGCCAACATTTTGGCCAATAGTTGAGTGCTTAGCCTTCTGTGTCACCCAGAGATTCCTTATATTCCCCATAGCATTTTACAAAGGTAAATGGGTAAAGTTTTAACGATAAAAGGAGACATGCATCTGGTTAACCTTTGAAAATATGGTATGTGTGTTACCAGTTCAACACTTGACTCTGGCTGGACAAATCAAAGACATCAAGTTGGCCAATTTTGTTCAATATATTAACCAAATTCAGCACAAGAATTTATATCACTGAGTTGATTTTATGATGGATCCTGGGATATTTTCTAAAGTATGGACATTTACCTAGCAGAGGAAATACTGTGATCACGAAGGTGGTTTTCCCAAGGGTGAGGTTTATTCCAGTGCATTGTGGATGTGCTGACCTCTGCAATTTCCACAAATATGGAAAACTCGACTGCATAACTGTGGTAGTAGGGGACTGCATGTGCACTATCCCCTATAAAAATATGGAATGCTAGGAGCAAAATTATCAGAATTTGAGGCTAAGACACAACAATTATTTATGTTAAACCTAAATGATGTTTAATGATTTTAAAAATAGCTTAGTATTGCAATATGACTTATAATTATTGTACTTTTAAAAAGATGTTCTTATGTTTGAGGTGTTTTGCCTTTTTTAAAAAAACAAAAACAAAAGCCCAAAATCAACAAACCCAGAAAGGGAAAAGGATTGGAAGTTATTGCTCAAAAAGTACTAAGTTTCTGTTTAAAGAGAAGAAAAACATTTGAAACCAGAGACTGGTGTGGTTGTACAAGAAGGGTGGGTGAAATTAATGCCATTTCACTCATAGTAGCACCATTATAGATGGAGAAGAGACTGAGATTGTTAGCAATTTCAGCTTGCTCAGCTCCACAATCCACACTCTTAGCCCTGGCAGTAAGGAAATCAAAAGATGAATTGCACTGGGAAAATCTGCTATCAGGAACCTCTCCAGAGTGCTGAAGAGCAATAATGTCAGTCTAGCGACTAAGGTGCATCTGATCCAAGCCATGTTCTTCGCAGTTACTTGCTAAGTATCAGAGAGCTGGACAATGACTAAGGATAATAGAAGAAAAATCAATGTCTTTGATTGGTGCTGGAGGTGAGTACTGAACATACCACAGACTGCCAAGAGAATAAACAGATCTGTCCTCGAGAGGGTGAAACCAAGTTGCTCCTTGGAGGCAAAAATTTTGAAGCTCAGTCTTACTTAGTTTGGGCATATGGCCAGGAGGGACCAGTCTTTGGAGGAGGAGATCATGATTGGAAAGGTGGAGAGAAAGCCCAGGAGAAGAAGACTGTGGATGAGATGGATCGATACAATAGCTAGGGTAATGGGGGGCGTTCAGAGCTCTTATACATAAGATTTTTATATTGTACATGACTTGTAGGTGACTCAACAGCACACAACAAGAACATTTAAAATTAATTAAATGGCAAATTTTTTGTTAAATATATTTTACCACAGTAAAAAATAAATCAGAGTGAAAAAAACTATTACGTTACACTGAGCATTTGGAACCCAAGTAATTACATCTGTTAAATGTTAGGTGCTGTTAAGTCAACTATGCCTCGTAGTGACCCTGTGAATAACATCTGAACCTTGCCCTAGTCTCCACCATCCTCATAATATCTGTCAAGCCCATTGTGGTAATTGCCGTGTCTGCCCATCTCATTGAGGGTCTTCCTTCCTTTTACTGACTTGTTAGCTTTCCCAGCATGGTATCTCTCTCCGAGGACTGGCTCTTCTTAAAAAATATACTCAAAATAAGTGAGATTAAGTTTCACTATCTTTGTCTCTAAGGTTTTATATCCTTCAAGATAGATATGTTTGTTCTTTCTTCAGTGTATGGTCCATTCTTTTCCAACACCATGATTCAAAGGCATCAATTCTTCTGTCTTCCTTACTCATTTATCAACTTTCAGATGCATAGGAAGCAATTGAAAATACCATGGCTTGGGATCAGGCACCCTTTGGTCTTTAAACTGACATCCTTGTTCTTCAGTTGTTGGAGAGGTACTTGATAGCAGATTTCCCCAGTGCAATAGATCTTTTGATTTCTTGACTGAGGTTACCAAGGGTATGGATTATGGATCCAAGTAAAATGAAACCATTGACAACTTCAATCTTTTCTCCATGTATTGTGATGTTGTTCTCTTGATGTTGAGAAATAATCCATACTGAAGGCTGTAGTGTTTGATTTTCTGCAGTAAGTTCTTCAAGTCTTCTTCAGTTTCTGCGTTTTGTGTCATTTGTACAACTCAGGTTGCTGTTGAGTCTTCCTTTGATCTTGAAACCACATTCTTCTTCCCATAGTCTAGCTTCTTAGCATATTTATTGAATAGGTATGGAGAAAGGATATAGCCCTGAACCACATCTTTTCTTATTTTAAACCACAAGGGTGTTTCTCTGTGCTGTTCAGACAACAGCTTCTTAGCCTATGCATAGGGAGCTCTGGTGGACTAGTGGTAAGAATCTACACTGTAACCTGAAGGCACATGGTTCAGATCGCCAGCAGTGCCGTGGGAGAAGGGTGGACAATCACCTCCTTTGCTGTTACTATTTCTGAAAACCCGCTGGGAGTCAGCTATGGTTGGTTCTGACTCAATGGTCCACAGAAGCAACAGGTTTCCCATAAGCACAGTAAGTGTCCTGGGATTCCCATTCTCAGTGTTAGCCACAATGTGTTGTGATTCACACAGTCAAATGCTGTTGCGTAGTCAATTAAAAAAAAACAACTAAATAAACATGCTGCTAGTTAAAATGTCCTTTTTCTGAGTGTTATGTGTATGAGCAACAACATTGTAGGAGCAACACTATTAGAGAAATAGATGGAATTTGATTTGCTAGAGAATCTGGGTTAATGTTGTCTGACATGGTAGTGATGCCATCACCATGAAAGATAATACCCTTGATATCACATCAAAATTAGCCTTCTTAATAGCTACAAAAGGATCAAGAATTGTTCCCTGTCAAAATACTTTTCCACTTCAAAGAAGCCGTTTTCTTTTTTAGATCGGGAGCTTTGCAAACAGAGGAAAAGAAGCTGCAGAAATAGCACGTGTGATCAAGATTCTAAACTCTCTGTGTGCACGTGTGCCAAGGGATATACTTTAAGCCACGATGGGATGCACTGTGAGGGTAAGGCATAGATCTTGTGACAATAAGGCAAATCGTGATATAGTAGAGGGTAGATCTGGGAAAGTGGAGACAGTCTGAGTAGAGGTTTGTCTTCTGTAGGACCATCAGAGCCCCAATGTAAAGAAAACCGAAACAGCCACTCCTTTTTATTTCCTAGAAATGCAATTTTAGTTTTTTGTTCTACTTTTGAAACCTTTATACTCCTTTCAGTTCTTCTATCTAAGTGTTTCGAGATCAATCCCTTTCTAAAGATGCTCAAAGAGTAATATAAAGCAAGTATATTCTTACTGGGCTTCTTGAAACCCCATGGTTGTACTTGATGCAGATTCCAGCATATGCAAGGTTTTTAGGAGACTGGCGTAAAGTTATAAGATTTTCAAAGAAAGTGTGGCTCCCACCTCCCAGCTCCTAAAAACATCTAGGAGGAATGACAAGAAGCTGTGACCCAAAACGCAAAAGGAGAGCTTCTCCTGTGTTAACATTTCAGTCTCAATTTAATGAACCTGGGAGAAATACACTGCCCTTTCCAAAGATAGTAAATGGCTTATTGATCAAAACAGTCCAGTGGTTGTAGCACACATTCAATGCAATGAGTTGGGAAGGGATTTCAAGGAAATCTAGCACCTGCCTTGCTGGTTATACCAGTTTCTTTTGAATCTTTTCTCATGCATGTTGACATCATGTATTTCAGGGGGGGAAAACAACAACTATGATCCATATGGTTTCCAATGTCTGATTTTTTTTCTGAAATATAACTCCTTGTCTGCCTTTGAAGGGTTTCTGGGTGGACTGAATTCTCCAATCTGGTGATTAGGAGCAGAACTTGTTGACCATTTACATCACACAGGGACTTCTGTTAATTAGTCAGAGGCTCCTACTTTTATAGAAGAGTCCTTAGATGGTACAAATGGTTAAGCGCTTGACCATCAGCAGAAAAGTTGGTGGTTTGCACTTACCCAGAGGTACCTCAAAAGCAATGTGCTTCCAAAAAGCCATGGCTTTGGAAATCCTGTGAAGAGGTTCCACTCACACATGACGTTTCCATGAGTCAAAATAAATCCGCAGGCAGATAAAGGCACAGCATAAAAACACTGACCTGTAAGCCTGGAGTGTAAGGCAGAGTAAAGGTGCTAAGGACAGTTTGTGCTTTCAAATGAAAAAGCTCTAGTTGCTGTTGTGAAGAATGCAAAGCAGAGAAGAGAATGTTCCACTAACGTATGGCAAGTTATGTGTTTCCAAAGAGATAGACTACATCTTCACCAGAGTTATTCTAGTATATAATTAGAGTAGCCAGGCACCCCAGCTCCATGAAGGCTCTCTATGCCAAGCAGCCTACAGGCATCTGGCAGGGAAGGCCTAAGAGGAAGGTCAGCTTAGCCTGAGCTGTGAAGGAGGAGCCCAAGAGATCAGCCAGGCTGTCAGCTAAGCTGCCTGCAAAAGTGGAAAGGAAGTCCCAAAAGGCAGCAGGAAAGGAGAAGACTCCAAACAAAAGAGTGAAAACAGAAGGGGAAAGGGGAACCAAGGGAAAACATGTGGAAGTGGCTAACCAAGAAATGACAGATTTACTGCAGAAAATGAGATAAAATGAAGAGAGTCCAGCCTCTGATGAAACAGGAGAGGAAGAAGCCAAGTCTGATTGATATTTTGTCTACCATGTCTTGTCACTGGTCCCTTCTTGTACAATAGAGGAATATTTTTCTCACGTCTTGATGAGGGTCAAGTAAGGAAAGTTTTGGTTTGTGTTATTGTTTTTTCCCTCCACAAGAGGTTGTCAGCTGGCTGGACTTTGGTCCAATTTAGCCAACAATGACCCAAGGGCAGAGGGTCTGCTTGGTTTATTGTAGTCAACAGCATTTGTTGAGTGTGCCTGTCTTTAAAATTTTATAAGGTCTTTGGGCCAAACTAATTAATATTGGGATGAACAATTTTTAAGTGGTACAGGAGTCATTTGCCTATTTGCTGTACTGAAGTAACTTGGGGTATTGTGAGGCTGAACACTGCCATATTTGTGTCAAATACCACAATGGTTACCCATCATGGACAGTGTTTGGAGGAGCTTCCAGATTGATTCAGGTTTGGAAGCTGGAGTGATATCCATTTCCTAAACCAGATGCCTCTGGAAACTCTATGAACATAGAGAAATGATGTTAGTTATAAAACAGGGTTCGGGTCTTTTGTTCATAGGGTAACTATGAGTCATAGCCAATTCGACGGCACTTAATCAGTGCTAAGTGAGACTAGTGTTGTTATATTTTGGAGGAACATTCTTCTAATTTGCACATCACTCTTGTGTCAATTTGCGGTACTGAGGTAATCTGGGTTTGCTGTGAACCTTGTGCCACTGGGTTACAAATGCCATAATGGTTTCCCAAAGTGGACAGTGTTTGGTAGAGCTCCCAGTGGTAAAACAGGTTTGGAAGCAGGAGTGGCATCCACTTCCTAAACCACATGCCCCTGGAAACTCTGTGAAGTTGGAGAAATGACAATAGCTATAGAAAGGCATAAGGTCTTTTGTTCGTAGGATCTCTATGAGTTGCACTCAACTCAACAGCAATCAACAACAACACTTTTGTAAATGCAAGTTTTTGTAGCTCTAGACAATTTTCAAGAAGGAAATCTCACTTCATTCCATTTTAAAATGTAAATACATTTTTTAAGAGGTAAGATCATTTGCTGATTGTTCATTTTTTATATATACAACTAGAAAATGTGGGATGCTAAAATTTGGGGGTAGGATTGTATGTCAGTGTAACATTTCATGTGTGAGAGGGTCAGGGTTTTTTTGGTTTTTATTCATTTATTTGTTTATTTACTTTTTAAATATTTTTTTTTATTTCAATGAACATCTTACAGAGATTTTGGAATTCCATTCATTCATTGTTGCACTTTTCTCCCTGCCCACCCCACCCCCAACCCCCGTTTGCTCGAGAGGGTCAGTTTTTATATCCAATAAAGAGCATACTTAGTGACAATTTGGAGTCATACATTTATGGCTTGAACATTTTAAATTAAGTCTATTTTAAATGGCGTTTTACATTTTTATTTTATATTGTATTGCTTACAAGCTCATATATATTATTTCACACTATTCTTCATTCATATTGTATTTCATATAATCATTACCATGCATTGTGTTTTATAAAATTAATCACCGTTGGACTAACCCATCATTACCCTGTCTTTTCATGTCCCTCCTGGGTCTTACCCATTTCCTTTACTCCCTACCTCCAACTATCTTTGTAGAACTCTATGGCTTCACCCTTACCCATCCTTATACTCCCTCTTCTTCCTCCCTTAGGTCTCTAAACATGTTTTACTAGTTATCCTTCTATTTTTACAACAATGGTTTTATGCAGTATTTGTCCTTATGAGACTAAGTTAGTTCACTTAGTATAATGGTCTCTAGTCTCTCTTAAGTTATATAGTATTTTTCAAAATTATTGCTTCTGAGTGCTGCATAGTATGCCATTGTGTAAATGTACTACAATTTATTTTTCATGTTTTTCAGATACATAAATTAGGATATTGTTCAGTAAAACTTTTTCTTAAAGATAACCATTCCATCCTCTTTGCTCTCTCCCAGTAAGAACTGTGTGGATTCTGTAACATTTTTGGTCTTGGTAGTTCAGTTTTCCTAATAACTTTGTTTTGTGCTGTGAATGGTTGAAATTTTGAGTTTGTAGTGTGTAATAATAAATTGGGAATTAGTGGTCTCTATGAGTCGTCTATGACTCGACCGCACCAAACAACAACAATGATTAACATAATTTATTTTTTTTTAAATAATCATCTGACTATACTTTGTTCTTGTCATTGTATAGATGTCAATGAATGTAACCTTTCGAATCATGGCTGCACTCTTGGTTGTGAGAATACTCCTGGGTCTTATTACTGTACATGCCCAGCAGGGTATATGCTGCTTCCTGATGGGAAACAATGCCAGCGTAAGTCAGAGCTACAAGTATTTATAGCATCGTTTCCTTCATTGTCAGTGATATTCCTAAGGTGTCAATATCTGAGTTGGTGACCCAGTGGTTTGATCAACAGTGTACATCAGAATCACCATTGAGTTTTGTTTTGTTCTGCTTTTGAAATATGAATGACTAGACTGGTATAAGGGAACTCTGGTGGCCTAGTGGCAAGAAGCTGTGCTACAATCCCAAAGGCACGCAATTCGAGGCCACAGCTTCTCTACAGGAGAAGAATGGGCAGACTTCTCCCATGCAATTAACTACCTCTGGAAACCCGCTAGAGTGTCAGCTATGGATCGGTGCACACTCTATGGTAAACAACAACAACAACAGACTGGTTTAGTGGTAAGAAGCTGTGCTGAAATCCCACAGGCAGGCAACTCAAATCCACTAGCTATTCCTCAGGAGGAGAATGGCCAATCTCTCCTCCCATGTCATTAAGTTTCTCTGAAAGCTTGCTGGAGGGTCCGTTATGAGTCAATCCTGACTCTATGGCACATAATAACAATAGGCAATCACAGACCTATAAAATAAAAACTTCCACAGCTAAAAAAGAAAATGTATTATCTCCTTCTATTTCTTCATCCACGTATGTACTTGGTCCTTTCTCACTGACTTTCCCTCTATCCAACGTTTTATATTAGTGATAATAATAAAAAAAAAATCCATGATCTGTATTGCAATTCAGAATGCATACCTTGTAGTAATAAACACCAAGGTGCAAGGCAAGAATAATGCTGCTGTGGTAGTTAGTGTTAAGTGCTAACTTGACTGGGCCATGATTCTCAGGTTTTTTTTACAAAAGTAATGCCGTATTTGACAGTTATATTCATAATATACATAAATAAGGGCCATTCTTGTCCCCACTCCTTAGTTATCTTTACAATGGTGGGTTTATTTCTTAATATTTTCTAAATAAGACCAATGAGTGTGGTTTTCTAAAAAGTAGTATTACTACGAACTAATAAATTTTTAACATCTTTGATGCGTTTCAATCCATTATATTTGTTATCCTTACTCGCATGCAAATTATCTCCCCTTGTTCTAGTTAGAGTCTTTTCATATAACTTCCTGACCCCAGCAACCTTGGATAGATTTCTTATCTGATCAAGGGTATTTTCTAGGTTCATCTTGTACATTAAATGTTTTAAACTTGAAATCCACTGACATAAGTAGCCATTCCATAGAATTGTTCACATATGTATATCAGTGCATCTTTGGAAAAGATTTCTAAAAGCACAAAATAGCAGGTAGGTACATATATAATTGTACCTTTAGTGCTATTGTTTAGAGAGCAGGAAATGGGGCATGGAGTCACAGGGCTATGAGTGTCTCTCTGAAAGGGCTAGAGGGACTGAGGATAAGATGACCCCTCACCACACCTGAGCAGAATGCAGATGAAGAGCTCATAGCCCGACCACATAGTGCCTCTAGAGCCAAAACAGTAGCAGGAAGTTAATTTATGTGTAGTTGACTCAGACTCACAGTTGTGCTACCGAGAATGGAGTTTATTAGGGAAGCAAGTTGGAGAGTGAGGGAGGCAGAAAATACCTCACAAGTCCACATTTAGTCCAGCACCCCACAAGGCACAATTCCTCAAGTAGTTCAGGCTCCAGTTTTAGTTCAGCAACACAAATTCAAGAAGCCTCTGGTTCTTTCAATCATCCAGCAAGCTTTGCCTCTGAGCAGGAACAAATCAACTTCTCCTTCACGCATTTAACAAGAACAGTAAAACCTTTAACTGAGGCCAGCACAAATGCAAGAAGCCTCATATCACATGTTGCTACAGTTTTTCCACAGCAATGCCGTGGTCTCTCCACCACCATCACGAAGGTCTCGCCACCAGCATCTCACTTTTACTAGGGTCTTGCTCAGTCTCTCTCAAGTCTTGCCTGCCACAAGTCTAACTGCCACAAATCTTGCTACTTAGTGTAGGAAGCATTCTTTCTCTTATCCTAGTCCCACAGTTATTGATGATTTGCAAGACCATGTGTCTGCAGTTAAGGTAGCTTGAGACCAGAAGGAGTTAAGGTAATGGCTAAAAAAGCCAACTTTTAGGTTAACACTGCAGGTATATATTGTAACCTTTGATTTATTGGCTTTTATCTAGATGTATGGTATATGGTAGGGATTTAACTATCTCCTCAAATTATTACTTGCATTTATTTCTCTACTATTTTATGATCTTATATATGTTATTAATTTAAATAAAACCTTCATCACACACTATAGCCTAGGTATCTTGATCCTTTGAATTGAATCTTCTTTCTTGAACTATTATCCTTTCTATCTAACCTTGCACTATTTTTCTACCATTTCAATTATTAAATGTGCCTTTATTATTAAATTATTTAAATGTACCTTTATGACACTTTTTAATATTTTAAAACACTTTCATTTTTCTTCACGTACCTAATAACATTCATATGGTATGTCTAGTTTTTCTTACACATGTAATTTGTTTTCCAAATGAGAATCTCTTAACCAACTTGCATGTAAAATTTTTTGGAATTTTGATAACTAGTAACTTTAGAAATACTACATAGATAGTATTTAGTAACTTAGAACTAGAATACTTTTCCAAACTCAGAAGCCTGTCTTTATTTTTTGTTTTAGATTTGAAATGTTCTCTTTATTTAAATAATTATCATTATACCTTTTATTAATGTTTGTTCTTTATTTAACATGCTCTTTTCTGAATAGCATTTTTATTAGCAACTTATTTTAATAAATTTACATAAACCTGACTTAACATTAATGCTGGTTTTATTCTTCATCAATTAGCATTACCACCCTGTCCAAGAGATATGTCTAAATGCAGTAACAACTGTGTTCTGACATCGGATGGCCCTACATGTCTCCATCCTACAGGTTCAACATTTGACATAGATGGAAAAACATGTACTGGTAAGTGTACTTACTTTTTTGTTGGAAAACTCTCAAAGTGGTACCTATAAACTGATATTATTGTCAAAAAAGAATCACTCTTCCAACATTGGAAGATATATATGCAAGCTATAATTACATAGCTTACACTTGATTGTTAACAAAATTAAAAATAACCAGTTTATACTTGACTTTCCATTAAATCAAAAAAACCTACTCTCCAGAATCCAACTGCTCCAAATGATTCCTAGGCAGGAACCAAGTGACTTTTAAATACAAAGGCACACCCACCATGTCCTGATTGCTTAAAGCAGATGCTTCCAGCCCACAGCTGATTATTAACTAAATCAAAGAAGCCAATCAGCTTACACTTGATTGTTAAAAATTTTTAAACAATGGCCAAACAGTTTAAACCCAACTTTCAATTAAAACAACCTACTCTCCAGAATCCAACTACTCTAAACTGGAGACTCTTAGGACACAATCAACTTTTAAATACAAAGACCTTCCCACCAAAATTGGGAAGGGAGTGCATTATTTTATTTTATTTTTTCTCTGTACCTACTCAGTCTGTATGCTGTGCAGATTCCCTAGAGACTGGACTCTATGAAGTGGAGTATGGTATCAGGATTGTCATCAATAACCTGTGTTATGCAGATGACACACCTTGTTTGCTGAAAGTGAGGAGGACTTCAAGCACTTGTTGCAGGAGATCAAGGAATGCAGCCTTTGGTATGGATTGCATCTCAATGTCAAGAAAACGAAGAATTTTACCCCTGGACTGATAGACAACATCATGATGGATGGAGAGGAAATTGAAACAGCTTGCTTGGATCAACAATTAACACCTTTCGGACCAGCAGTCAGAAAATAAGGAGATGCATTGCACTGGGAAAATCTTTAGTTAAGGACCTCTCCAAGCTATTAAGAAGTATTGATGTCAGTTTGAGGACTACAGTGTGTCTGACTCAGGCCATAGTCTTTCAGATTACTTGTTATGCGTCTGCGAGCTGGACAATGACTATGGATGGCAGAAAAAGAATTGATGCCTTTGAGCTGTGGTGTTGGAGAAGAGCACTGAACATCCCATGGATAGCCAAGAGAACAAACAGGTATGTCTTGGAGAAGGTGCAGCTGGAGTGTTCTCTGGAGGCAAGAACGATGAGACTCCACTTTGCATACTTTGGACATGTTGCTAGGTGGGGCTATTCCTTGGAGAAGGACACTATTCTGGGAAGGGTGGAGGGTCAGCAAAGGAGAGGAAAACACTCAACCAGGTGCTTTGACATAGTGACTGCTGCAATGGATTCATGTGTGTTAGGAAGTTTGAGGATGACACAGGATATAGCAGGGTTGAGATCTTTCGTTTATAGGATCACTATGAATTGTACTTGACTCAACGACACCTAACAACAGCAACATTATTATACAGAAAGTCCTGAAGTAGCGTTACTAGTCTGGTGGCCTTGTGGGTAAGAAGTTACACTTCTAACCCAAAAGCAAGCAGTTCAAATATAGCAGCTGCTTTAAAGGAGAAAGATCTGCGTTCTCCTGTGTGACTTATAGCCTCTTCAAACCTGCTGTAGGGACAGCCATGAGGTGGTTTGGACTTGATGTCACATAACAACAACAGTTGTATTATTTTGGATTCGGACATCATTTTAGTCTTAATTTCCTCAGCTGTAAAAATGAATTATACCTGCCACATAGATTAACATTAAACAAGATTGCAAACGCAAAGAGTTAGCCTGTTCCTCCTATCACATAGGTACCTCACAAATGCCCTTTTCTGCTTTTGTCTTCATAGAGACTTGGATATTACTCAAAATTAGCAGATATATATGACTTAAAGAAAGTAAAATAACTCAATAGGCAAAAAACGCAGATAATAACAAAAAGAATTACTGTGAAAAATTAGACCAGCCACCAGTTGCATTCAGTGCCTTATTTATTTCAGCCAGGTATCAGTGTGTTTTTTCTCAAACATTATAATAAAACAAGAGAAAGGCTATGTGGCTGTTAACACTAAAAACCTCAAGATTTATAGTCCTATAAATAAATGGGAGTGGAATAGAGTGGCACTCTTGCATCTAGTCTCTGGAAGGTTAGCTTTTGAAGCAGAATGAATTTCCACAAATAGATTTTAAAATCAACAAATACTTAGGTTACCTCATTATCTTGATGAAAAAAAATAGGTTTTTTTTTTAAAATTTCTAATACAGTGCATCTTTGCAAACAATCTTTTTACATTTATTTTTATCTAATGGTAGATATGTCCCCATTAACACAATATCTTGGGAATGTGTTTGCTTTCCCGGGAATAATCGACAGCTGGATCAAAAAAAATTTGCGTAGCTCAGGCTAGTGCTTTAGGTATCTGAAAATGACTTTCTGCAAAAAAAGGGAAGCAACATTTCAGTTGGAAAGATGGAAAGTTGAATTGATTCTGTATTCTGGATAGAATTATTCTTTTTCC